CGCGTGTTATACGTGTTATACGTGTTATACGTATTCCACATGTAAGACGTGTTACACCTGTTATACGAGTGTTACACCTGTTATACGAGTGATACAAGTTATACGAGTGATACGAGTTATAGGTGTAACATCGCGTGCGTTTCAGGGTCTCTCCGCGTCTTTTGCTCTTTTCTCTTGATTCTCCGCTGTGGAATTGAAAAGATTTAAAGAGAACATACCCTTCGTGATCCTGAGCCTGTAATAACGTGAAACAAGACACAGATCAAACTCTTTGTTCTTCACTGATTATTGCCTCTACGAGGAAGGTTTCGTGTTGCCAGTTGTGCTGGAGGTGAAGCAATAAATAATGATTGGAAAACCATCTGCTTTCTTGACGCCGCTTCAAGGTCGGTCTTAAAAAGCTGTTTCAATTCATTCTCTGCTGTCGGTGGTCTACTATCCTGAGACCGTGACGAATGATTTTCAACGGGACCCTTTCTTCACCAGTGCAAACATGGAGGTACACCACGAAGATACTACGTAATGTCCTCGTCTGAAACGGTATTTTCTACGTCTTCCCCCTGCCCATCTCACCACCCCCAAACTAATTTTGCAATTGTCTTATTCCATAAACAAGAATAGCTCAGTCACCTTTTAGTATCGTATGAAAGCAAGAGCGCACCTGACCTTTCAAACTGGTACATTGATCCTTCAAGAGCAACTTGAACGCAGTCCGATTCGTTTCAGCACACAGCACACAACCTGGAAAGATTGCCCAAACTCCTCCCCTTGGGCTTTGATTACACAATTTTGGAACTAACACACAAATCCTAAAAGGAGGATCTCCAGAATCAGAACACAACAGACGAGCTAGTATTGAAACATACCGGTAGCACACCAGACACCATGGCTCCAACAGACACAAACACACCGTCCTCGGCTTGCTCCTCCGCCAGATCACTCCTCGCCACTCATGCCAGTGGCAGTGCAGCTCCTACTCCATTGCTGAACCTCATGCCGGACATTCTGTCTGTTCCAACGCCCCCCACAAGTACAATGACTGAAGAAGCACCACAGCCGGGCCAGCAGCATTTGCAGTCTCTCCAGACCATCTTGGGTCAAGTCCTGGATTTGCTGGACGATGAAATGGACTTGTTTTCGGATGACGAAACGGATGCTCCTCTTCCGCTCGTGTCTTCCTTCCAGCTCAATGCACCCAACAGTCTCCCTCAGTAAACAACCAGACACTCATTGACAGACTGACATACCGGTACCGGTACATGGGTACGGTACATACAAACACGCTGAAAGGGGCGTTCGTTCATGCAACCTACATTTGCTCGAGCAAGAAAGATAGAGGGACCTTGAGCTATATACGACTAGCACATGATGTTTTGACAGGAATCATCTAACTAAAGTTAGCATACATGTTATACATTGACTGACTACTCACGTAGCGGTACAGTACCGGCAGGCCTGTGGATGAGGGAGAGCGGTGAAGCATTGCCTCATACGTGCCATTGATTGCTGCAGAGGTTCACTGAGATGCTTTCACTCAACCTGCATGTTCTGGCCACTACCACAATGATACGGTACCAATGTCCTATCGCAGGGAGCCGCGGCATCAAGCAGATGGGTTCAGGTAGCTATCTAGCCATATCGCAGGAGCCAGTTGGTGAGAGGAACAAAGGAATGTTCTAACCAGGATACCTTCAGCTGCGGTTGGCTGTTCTTACTCTGCCTGGCTCCGCAAAAGGGGGATGTGGTCTGGATGAAATGGACACGCCGAACGTACCGCACGTCGCGTACTAATACCTTGCTGCTTCCTTCTGTACTAGCTAGTGATGGCTGCTACCGCACGGCAGCCGAGGCGGCACCAAGTACCGCACCGGTTCACTCTACCGGTAGACTCCGGTAGCAGGCAGGCAGGCAGGCAGGCAGGCAGGCAGGCAGGCAGGCTATATCCAGACACCTGCAAGAATGGCCCAACTGGCACCACGCACTCACCCGAAGCACTAGCTAGAACCGGTACGTCACATCATGCCATGGCTACCGTATACCGTACTAAAGTGGAGCGGTTTCTGGCATCGAGGTACCGATTGTATTTTCGATGTCTCCCTCGTGGATGTTGAGTCTCCTGGTCGTGGTGACCGTGGTGTCACTGCTGAGAAGGCCCTTTCTCAGCGGGAGAGGCAGAAGAAGATGAAGTACCAGGCTCAGTGCACTGCACAACGCCGCCACTTCACCCCCTTTGTTGTTTCTGCTGACGGCCTCTTTGCTGCCGAAGCTACTGCTGTTCTCCAACGGCTCTCCCAGCTTTTGGCTCACAAGTGGTACAAGCCCTACTCTGTGGTTCGCTCTTTCATCTCGGCCAGGCTGAGCATCGCTCTCGCCCGCGCCGTGACCCTGTGTCTCCGAGGCTCCCGTGTCTCAGCTCTCAAGGTTTCCAAGCATTGGGATGAATGTGGTGCCCTCGATCTCTTCCGCTAGTCTTGCTCCTTCACTCCTCCCTGCCCTCCTGCCCTCCTGCCTTCCCCCTTTCCTTGGTTACCATGTTGCCCTGCCTGCGCACTTGATTGCTTGCCTTGCGTTCCTGCATCGTGCCCTCCCCTCTCTGTCCCCATCCTCATCTTAGCTCTCTCTAACCCATAGTAACTTTCCCGTTGAAACTAAGTGGAGCTCTTTGATCGCTTATCTGATTCGATTCGATTCGATTCAAACTTCCTTGCACTTTGCCTGCCACGTATGGGTTCACTCCTGTCTGAGAGGGGCGAGTGAATGATGCATCCATTATTTGCGGCTCGTCTGCAAGGAGCATTCTCTATCTCCGAGAAAGTTAGTTACCAGCTCGGCAACCATTGAAATTGGATGTTGGAGGGTTGTTGCTTGCTCTAGCTACGGAGCTAGCCGTACGGCACGGTAGGAAAACGGTAGCCAGCCACACATGAAAAGAAAGGAAAATTCGCTCCGCAAATAAGGCAATAGCCTTGAAGTTGAAGCGCAGCTGTGATACGGTACGAACCAGTAAACGAGTGGTACGGTACTACGGTACAGTACTACATGTAACGGTACAGGTAGCTAGTGCTGGGGGGTGGAGAATCTCTGACAAACAACTGCCCCCACACCCCACACTCCAAACAGTTCCTGACGCAATCAAGCCTCACTGGCTCACTGGTATAAACGAGCTTAATAATAAAACTCACCGATCTTGGACTCTCAGCTCTCTTGAGAATAAATCTATTTAATTATTTGTGACTGTTGGCCATACATGTACAATGTACAGCCGTACCAGTACTTTTGAAGTATTAAAATACTAATACCGGTACATGTACCTGTAAATTTTTTAATGTAAAGCACCAAACACCAAAAGGCACAAAGGCCCTGGGAACAGCCCATGCCAAGTTAATTATTTAATTATAGCACGATAACCAGACAACCAGACACAGTTGCAACTGGTCTTTTAACTCCAGGAAGCTCTCCAGGACCTGAACAACCAACAGTACCTGTTTTGATGAGCTCATCATGATTTAAATAGTTGCGGTCGTGAGAAAAAAGCTTTCCAAACATTTCACTACATGTATCGCACTCAAAACCCCGTATCTTTCCAGTAGAGTGACAGTCCGTTGGATCAGCAGCTGATCAGCTCGCTGCTGGCCTCAACAAGGTCATAATTTCAGTTTTCTCTTGTCGGGCACCAAAACACTCGTCTCCTACTACCGTACAACTATGTCGAAGTCCTCATTCTCTCAATGCAACCCAAGCAGTGGCCCTACCGCCATGGAGAATTCCAACAATGTTCCTTTTGCGGGGTTGGTTCCTCAGATCCTCTCGAGTCTGAGCACTATCAACCCTCCTCCTCCTCCTCAAGACCCTGAGCAGCAGATGCACCACCTGCGGACAGTTCTTGATGAAGTCCTCGACTTGTTGGATGATGATGAAGATGGCTGGTTCAATGGCATGAGTATGGATGACAGAGTCAAGACCCCTCCCCAGTAGACAAGAGACAAGACAGGCTGTCATTCTTGTATCAATGTTCTTGAGATGGAGCCACAATGTACATAATCACGTTTCGGGAGAGTTGAGTCGAGTCGAGTCGAGTCGAGTCATCAGTCACCTCATTAGATGCATATTATATATGACTGCTGACAGATTCTGCTACCATGCTCGTTTTGAATTCGATATACCTACCTTTTTAACATGATAGTTCTTGAAATTAGACCCCAGTGATTTTCCCTCTGATCTGGTTGCAGCCAGTCTCAAGTCTCAAATGAGCAATGAGAGTATTCTTAGCTAGTTACTGTCATCTCCACTGAATGTAGCCTGAAATCAGGAGGACGAGAATAACTGTATGGTACCATTGGGCTGATGATTGGCTGGTATCTGCTACAGCCGAAGCTGGGGACGCTGTGAACTGCATCATCCTCGAGCAACTGGCGTTTATTCGGTTCACTGTATCCTGTGGTACTCCCGCGCAGCGCCAAGATTACAAGCCCAGTTTGCAGTGATCATCCCAGCGGCAACCCAGACTTCGGGCAAGACCATACATACGGTACGTACGAGAAAGAGCGGCACTGTACGCACCTCGGCTGCCACGCGCTTACCAGAAGGTTGCCGCTACAGCCCTCTCGTCTCAGCACAGTTCACAGTCGTAACATGACAATTCACAAGCAAAGGAAGCTTATCGCTTTATCCACCACGGTCGGCACTCCCCTGTCAAGGAAGGTCCTTGCTTTTGGCATTCTTGGAACGCCAAAAGAGGATCGTGTTGTTTGTTTTGCGATACTATAATATGTAGCTACTGCAGTACTTCTGTGGTCTGGGCAATTGCCTTCCTTGCATGTTGCTTCGACAAGGTCCTTTGCTTGGATGCACGACTACTATTGCCTTGACGTGACGAGATCTCTGGTTGAGAGAAAATTGCACGGTAGGATTGAGTTGCAGTTTGGGCTCAAGCTTCCTTGGTGGCTTTAGCAACTCTGCCATTCAAGTCATCGCTCCTCCCCCACCTGGTCCTGACAAGCCACCAAAGTTCCTCAGGACCTGTCGCCCTCTCCGGCTACTAGCTAGCCAGCACTGCCTGAGACTCCAAGGAGCGGGCCAAAAAGCCAAAATGGCCAGATGATGATGAAAAGATCATTACAGAGACACGGAAACTAAAAAACTCCCCCACTTTCCGCGGAAGTGAATAGAAAGGGTCATACATACATAAACGTCCGACCGAAGACAAAAACCAGAAGATTAAGCTGGCGCAGCTCTGGCAGCTGCTCTGGCCCACTGAGACACAATGTCATGTAGCTCTTAATTAATTGCCCTCTTCTCGCCTAGTAGCTTGGTAACAGGATTTAACCATGAGACTTCAGCCAAATATCTTATTAAATGCTCAAATGACTGTTGTAAACAGTTACTGTACAGATTATGTTTCAGGGAGCTGCTATGGTATCGTAGTTGACAACTGACAACGCATCAACGCTTCAAGCGCAGAACCAAAGGTCATTCCAATTTTCTCCCCTTCCATGACCTTTCCACCTTTTCCAGAGAATGACTGCTTGGCGAGGACTTCAGTATCGACGATCGAGGGCTTTTAGAAGATATGAGCAGCTTTTGAGCTATGGGTGTGCATACTACCGGTAGTACCGGTACTGGTGGGGATGGGAGAGTTATCTTTCTTGCCCTTGGCTATGTGTTTTATTTCTTCCAAAAAGCTCTGAAACACCCACTTCAAACTACAGCCGTACGTCTATCACCATGTCCAACTCATCCTCGTCCTCTCAATGCAACCCCAGCAGCGGCAACCAAGGAACTGAGACTCCAAGCAGTATCCCTTTGGTGGAGTTGGCTTCACAGATTGATTGCTCCTCCAGCTACCAGTACATGGTCACTCAAGAACCTTGTGATGTCGAGGGGCAGAGATCCCGCCTTCAGACAATTCTTGGGGCAGTTCTTGACTTGTTGGATGATGAAGAGGACTGGCTTGTTGACATGGATACAGGCGACAGTACGCTGGGAGATGCTAGAAGACTCCTTACGATGAGTGCCCCTTCTCAGTAGCCGGTCCAGTCCTAGTTTCCTCAAAGAGACACACGTACCGATATGATACCTTTGGAGCGCCGAGCTGAGCGTAATCTTGGGAGTTGAGTTGGTTGTCTGGTTGGATGTTCCGTATTCAACATGCGCCAGCTGGTGGTACTCATTTTTGATTGCATGTAAAACGATAGATCTGGAACTTGATACAAATATGTTTGTCGTTTCTTTAGTTAGGAGGTCATACTGATCGAGTCTCGTTGTATCACAGTGTACAGGAAAGAAGTATGGTTCTGACCGTCCATGATGATTGATTGAGGAGGGATCGTATAGACATTGCCTAGCTAGCAGAGCTTCCCAGCGGTGAAGCCGTGAGATTGAATCCTATTCGTATTGCTACACATGGTAGCCACTCGAATTACCTGCCCCTTCTTCTACCGTACTTTGCGACAGCACCTGTCTTGAGCCCAATTGATCCTTCAGTTTTGTCGCCACGGATCTCCCCACTTATTTCTTACCCCCCGGCGTCCGTTTCGGTAGATACCTGGTACTTTTCTACTGATTCCCTAACGAGACCCCCCTTTTCTATGGGGGAGATGTCATGATGCCACAGAGTTACGGAAAGATTACCTTCCACGTGGAACTATAGCCAGTACTTCCAAGGTCCAAGGTCCCACAAAGGATACTACGTACATGCAAAGCAGCGACCATCATGGAGCATTTGCCGGTTGAGGTGCTATTCCCGAAATCCAAATAAATAATCTGGATTCCACATTATTTATCTGGATTCCACATTATTTATCTGGATTCCACATTATTTATCTGGATTCCACATTATTTATCTGGATTCCACATTATTTATCTGGATTCCAGATAAAATGTCTGGATTTCGATCGATGCGGTGATGATGACCACTCCCACGTTCTTCGAAAGATGTTCCAACGACTCCACTTGGCCATGATCCAATGATATATAGAATACCGTTGGTTTCTACCACCATACTACAGTACCGGTACCGGTACTATGTAGGAAGTTTGATGCAATGGGGCCGCACGTATACGTCCCGTAGCTGAGGAACCACCGCACCATGATACCAACCTCTTCTGCATCTCATTAGATGCGCACAGCTCTATAGCTGATTCCTGATAACTGGCTACCAGTCTTGGTACTGTTGGCTATGCCGAGAATGGAAGAAGGCACATTTCGATACACGTGGGAGCCGCTAAGGTACCAGTACGTGTGGTGAAAATTTCAGTATGAGATCAACAGGCATGCCACCGTGTCAATTGATTGCATACTGTATGGAAAATTTCATTCCAGAACCCTCTCAGGATCTTTGTCAACCTGCGAATTCGGAGATGGAACGAACTTTGGTTGGAGTTTTCACGAAAAGGTGCTTTGCCAGCCATACTGTACTGCAATAGAAGTCAGCCTTCAACTGGCCTACTAGAGTAGCTAGTAGCCACGGTAGTACCGTACTGGCTGCTGTATGGGTGTACGAAAGATCGTATCTTTCTCATCCACAAATAATAAATCAAATCAACAACAAGAAGAAGAGTTTGATTGGTTTGGTTTTAGTTAGTGACAATAAGAAAGATACATACCGGTACAGAACACGAGACCTTTTCCCTTTGTTGGCTTGTAAGCAGTTGGTTTGGAATCAGATCATTGCTTGAATTCAGAGAGAGACAGTAAGAAGAAGTGTTTTGTGCTGTTAATTAAAAGAGCATCGCAGTAAGAGTGAAGCTCAAGCGAATAGTGGAGTTACCCATTACATTGCTTGACGCCAACTGAAGGTGAAGATTTGCTGTACGAACGAAGATAGATTACAGTGGCTTCAAGATGAAGGATAGCAGGTGGGCTTACGTGGAGAAGGAGGATGAAGAGATGGATGACGTTGACGTTACCGAGGAGGTCACTGAGAGTGAGGAGCCAGGGATCGCGACCGTGGCTGATAGCGTGGAGGGACGCACGATGGTTGACGACGATGGCGATGTCCCCATGTTGGACGATGAAGCTACTGGTGGCGAAAGTGGTGTTCATCACGACGAGGGTGCTGGTACTGGCTCGGGCATTCCTTCCGACGAGCAAGACGACAATGGCGAAGTTGTCTGTGATAATGCGTCATGGGCCAAAACTCGAGGAGAGATCCCTGACGGACCCAAGGAGGGAGTCAAGCATGGAGCCACGTTGGGTGGAACGAGCGGTGAAGGTGATATTGATGACGATTGTGGCATTCGTTCGGCTTCAAAAGGAGACAACGACGATGTCAAGGTGTTGGAAGCGGATGGTCGTAGCGCCACTGGAGGTGATGATGCTTCTCGGTCTGGCGAGTCCAAGTGCAACGAAGAGAATCTGAACACCGACGACGCAGCATTGTTAGAAGCCAACTCAGACGCGGAGTCGCGCAGTATTGGCGAGTTTAGCTTTGCCTCTTCAATGGAGTTCGATGAAGAAGACGCGGAGGCCGTCATCGGTGCAAAGTTGTGTCCTTCTGGTCCTTTCGAAATGAAGCTTCTTCGATCCTGTATTGAAGATGGAACCTCCGCTATTGAGGAGCTGCAAGGGAAAGATGTGGTACTAGTCGTTGGAAAAACTGGAGTTGGCAAGAGTCTATTCATCCAAGGAATAGCTGGCAAACAGATCAAGCCTGTGGCTCACGTGTCTACTTGCTATGGCACGCAAGTTTCGTCTAAAGTCTTTGAGGCTGTTGATCCCCTGCCTGACTTCCAGATCGGACACGACAAGGTGTCAAAAACTCGGTCCATCAGCAGCCTCGTTCGTCAAGGCGCTGGGAAGAACGGACAAGAAGTTGTTTACGTTGACTCACCTGGGTGGGATGACACTGGAGGAGAAGAAGTCGATATTGCCACCTCAGTCATGTTCAGCCGAGTTGTCAAGCAAGCAAGGAGTTTGCGTTTGGTTGTTCTTATCAACTATGGCTCTTTGCTGGAAGACCGTGGAGGTGCCATGAGGGCGGTTCTCAAACTTGCGCATACGTTTGTGGCGGACTTCGAGAAGGACAAGCGAAGCTTCATGTTTCTCTTCACGCACACGAACGAAGTTGAGATGGCCGCGTCCTTGGAAGAATCGAGGTTGGGTCTAGCTGATGAAATCCTCCGTATCAGGAAAGACACTCAGGACAAAGAAGTGGAAGAAATTCTAAAATTCATGTCTACTGCTCTCAAGAAGCAGTATGGCTTCGTCGATGTGGTGCATCCGTTGAAAACGGACTTTGCACAGATGTCGAGTTTCATTGAAACGAAGCTGTGGACGATCCGAAAGCCAGCCGCAATGCCCAACTGTGGCTTGACGGTCAAATCCGAAATGAGGTTGAACGCTCAAGTCCAACTGATGCTGAACACCGCCCGCCGACTTTTGTACCAGAACAAGGAGCTTCAAACTCCAGAGACAGTGATTCAGTTGAAGGAGATCATCGACATGTTCAAGTACTTCAATGACCACGTATGCGTGGGAGAAATTAAGAAAGCCTACAACGAGTGCCGCGAACTGCTGCAAGAACACGTCAACGAGCAACGATTGATCATGGAAGACCAACTAAGAAGAGCCAAGGACGAAAACGAGCACTTTGGGCCTGGCAACATCCGTCTTTTGAAGGCAGCTATGTCGCATTTGACAGCGTTCACAGACGACAGCAATGTGACTAGAAGTTACCATGAGAAGCTCATTGCTGAAGCACTCTCCGCTTCTTTCGAAAGAGTCTCCATAGAATCTGCCCTTGGAAGCTTGGGTTCGACCATGAAGGAACTACGCAAGATGCGAGCTTGGAGCGAAGGCTTTCCTTGTTGCACGGACAGGTACCAACAGGGCCGCGCTTTGATTGAAGCAGCAGTAGAGGACACCAGGGCAAGGGTTTCTCTAGTAGGAAACGCGGAGCTGGAAACTCTTGACACGGAAGGGCTTTGTTCTTTTGCCCGAGACGTCGTACTCCTCTCCGCAATTGTGCGGACAGGAAAGGAGCTTTCCTTGCATAAAATCGATGTTAGCATGTGTTCGAAAACCTCCAAAGGAACCGAAGAGCTGCTATGCACCCTGGCAATCAAGTTGGGCCCCCCGGAAACAACGATGCCTGACAGCGCACCTTGGAAGGCAGCACCTGGTGTAATCAGAGAACTGGCAAGCTATGCAATGAAACTGCAATCGTTGCAATCCGTGTTCGGCCAACAAGACGACCTGGTCTCATCCAAGGTTGCTGCAACTTTGGGCATTTCATTGGATCAGCTCGAGTCGCACACCGTCAAGCTGTACCGAGCGTTGTGTACCGATTTCAACGCCAATGAAACAGTCGGAACCGGAGGCGCAGAAGAGAAGTTGGGTGTCCTGGGATCCACCAAGCTCTTGTTCTCTTCGTTGTCCCCACGATGGCAGGATATGCCTAGGCTCTACAACCACGAAGTTGCTGTCATGCGATCAAAACTCAGGGTAGCGGCGACCGAATTGGAAAGAGTCGCTATCCAGTGCAAAGAGCATGGATTTGACGATGGCCAAAGAGATGGAGGCAAGTACGGTGCACTTCTATCGAGCGTGTGGTTTGACGCACATGACGGCAATGAGGGCTTTGTTAAAGCCACTTGTGATTCTGTGTACAATATATATCGCTGCAGGATGGAATCTATGATGGACACCCTGAAGTCGAATTCGGAGCAGCTGAAGATCTTATCCACCGACAACGTTGACCGCCTCAATGCATGCCACAAAGCTGCCTTAGAGATCAAGCAGTTTGAAAAGTTTGAGTCGTTTGCTGGAAACTTGAAGGCTGTAGCGAATGGCAGGAAGAGTGCTCTGGAGGGAGTCCGAAAGTATAACCTCTCTCTGAAGGACCAATCCAAGGAACTCTGTGCAAAGTGGCTTGCTCATGTCAAGGAATTGAAGGACGACGACAAGGCCCGGGCGATGACGGAGCAACTCGACAGTATTCTTGGGGAAATCGAAGCCATTGATACTTTTCGTTGCTTGCCACAAATGAAAGTGGCCGCAAAAGAAGCAAAGGAAGATATCATGGATGCTTTTGCAACTGCAACCAGTTTTGCCGAGAAGGAGTTTAGGATGCCGTTGGAATACCACAAGAAGGCTGATATCCTTGGACTCATAAACAAACTTCGAGGTTTTCGTCGGACTGACGCCTACCTACCGTCTTACTCTCACTTCCAAGAGAAAGCTCGAGAACTTGTTGCAAATGATGCAGTGAAAGTCGAGACGTTGGTACACGACTGTGCTGATGCAGACAAAATCGATTCAGAGTTGAAAGCATTCCAAGCAGCAAAGATTCTGGATCTATACACCAACGAGGAAGCAACAAAGCGCTTGCGGCCATTGGAAGCACTTTGTGACAAGCAGGCAGCTGGGCGAGACAAGGTCGTTGATGACATGATTGCCCGCCAAGACTTCGTTGGAATCGGTAAATACCTTAACCCGCTGCGTGACTCGAAATACGTCATCAAGAGGGAGAAAAACAGACAATACCTACGAAGGATTTCTGATGCCCTGAAGGCTCAATGTAAGATTTCTCAGGGGAAAAAGGGTCAGCTGACAGAAAAGGATGCCCAGTACATCGCGGACACGCTGAGAGCTCTACAGGATGCAGACAAGGAGATTGGTTCGAACATGCGCTCTTCTGGCCAATGGCTTATACAGTTCGAAAAAGAGACTGGAAGTCTGAAGTCGAAGCTGCGTCAAAGACTTGAGTATCTTGCGGGGAAAATGTCGGATGGGAGCAAAAAAGATGATTTTTTTGTCATGGGAGTCAATCATCATTACGCCCATTTTATTGCCCAATTGGATGAGTCTTTCTTGTGGACAGCAAAGGGAGCCTATCAGAGGGCAAAGCAGAAATGTGATGCCGCAATGGATTCACTCCCGAAGACAGTTGATTCTTTCGTGACCTCCTCATTTGCAAACTTCCGCCAGTTGGAGAAGGCCCTCTCAACCCTCCAGCATGCTTCTAAGAGTGAAGACCCCAAGTTGCCTCTGCTTCAACAATTGTACAAGAAGACTGTGTCATCTCTTTCCAAACAGGTAAACGATCGCCTTGTGCGCATTCGGGAGCAGGTTGAGGATGCATGTTGCTATGATGATGGAATTGAAGCTCTCAAGGCTCTGGAGAAAGCTTTGGGGCAAGGTCTTGCGAATCATGTGACACAGGTGGCTCCTCTGCCTTTTGATTGCAAGAGTGTTCTAGATACTTGGACTGAAAAACGGGCAGAGTTTTATACGCTGGGAACGTCACCAGGAGATGTTGGCAAACGCCTCAAGCTTCTAAAGCAGCGTATGGAAAAGCTCAAGAATGCAAACATCATTGAGCGATATGTGCTCAATACGGAGCATACTTACAAAAGACATCAGCAAGAACTACGAAAGAAAGTGGAACATTGTTTCCAGGATGGTGTGTCTGCTCTTAGGCAACGAGACGCTATGCACTTGCGTACAAGTCTTGACATGCTTGTGCAATTCACTGAAGGAATTGGGGAGCATGTTCCTTCTGCTGCTGTGAAAAGAGGTAATTTGGAAGACAGAATTGTCCAGACCCTCATTGAAGTATGCCACAAGTCAATCCAACAACTGGAAGAAAAGAATTTGATTGAATTCGAGGCTGCCTTTCCAGAACTGCGCCTGTTTGTCATCAACTTTGAGTTCATTCTTGGCAGGCCTGCAGCGATGAAAGAATTTTGCCTTGTAGCACAACTGGTACATGATGTTGTGCTTGGTGGCATTAATCAGCTACAAGTCGCAGTCGCCGACCACAACTTCTCAGAGACACGTGATCTCATCATATTCAATCGAACACATGGTGGATTTTTCGTTGACCACTATGGTCTCCTTTTTGAGGAACTCAAACAGCTTGGCAAATCGATCGAAAGTGAATGGTTCCAACGCATCTCGGATATTGGCCGAGAGAGCTTTGCCAGTGGTCGCCGCTGGCAGAAGATCCAGCAGTGTGCGATTCTTGGTGTGGTACCGAGTGCTTCAGAGTCGGAAATCCGAAAGGCATTCAAGCAGAAGGCACTGGTTGTGCATCCAGACAAGAAGAATTCTGCGGAGGGAGACTCTGGTCAAGATTTTCGCCGTGCTAAAGAAGCTCACGATGATCTGCTGAGTGATTCTGGCATGATAGGATGTGCAAAACCCTTTGATGAACTGCTTCTAAAGATTCCGTCACTTTTGGAGACGACTGTTCGGAATTTCCTGCGACATCAAGATTATGATCTACTTCAACAGTTGCTTGAGCAGTTGCAAGAAATGCAGATGGTTTGCATGCTGGTGGAACCAGAATTGTCTTACGACAAAGCCGTTGAGAGTATCCACAAGGTGGTGAAAGATCAGATCCACAGCATCAGATTGCAGGTAGACACATTCTGGACTGAACGGAAGTACAAAGAGCTTAATTTGTGCATTGAGGACCTGAAGACAGCAGAGCAGCATTTGAAGTCTTTCCCACGAATCTTCCCTGAATCGTGGAACCAGGGCATCATTGAAAAGGTTGAAAGAGAGATACAAACGCAGGGAGCTGAGGCACGGTTGCTTCTACAAGATAAGAAGACTGCAAGAGAGTGTTTCGATGACTTCAGACGATGCTTCATTCAGATGGGGGGAGTCCTTGTGGAATTGCAGCTGTTCAGCAGTTTCACAAAGGATGTTATGAGTGGTGTACTTGAGCTATGTCTGGAGTCCGATTGGGGTTACAACTATCTCTTTGATCTTGGATTGAGCTTGCACAGAGGAGACGATTCCATCAGCGAAGATGAGAATCGCATTGGTCAAACTCTACTGTCTGAATTCTCACACTTCAAGGAGGTGATGACCATGGTCTGGAATGAGGAGACAGCTCAAAAGCCCGTAGAAGACACTGTGCGAGACATCAAGGGATTGCGGCGAACTTCGCCTGATGGTACATCTGTTTCACTTTGCATTGACAAAGATGCACTGCTTCATAGCTTCCGGCAGTTCGAAACAGAGTATAAGCTCCTCTTGAGCGAATTTCTGCCTTCAGGATCAGATCTGGGAAAGCTTGCCAATCGGACTATTGACAGAGCCAATAAGCGCAGGCCTATCAGTTGTGCTGGCGGATGGGACTCTAGGGTGAAGGGAGCTTTACCTCAAATACTGGCTGGCATCTTTGCAATGTTCACAGTCATCAAGTCGGGCGAAAGCTACAACAGAATCAAAGAGTCTTCCAGTGACGAAAACCTTGGTGACAACCTGCTCATGAAGCCACACAACATTCAAGTGCTCACTTTGCTCCACCTTCTTGGATGTGGGAACGATGCCGAAAATGGTTTGAAAAATCAGCTTATGCAGATTCGGACTGGAGAAGGAAAGTCAATGATATTGGGAGCTGCTGCCGCTGCGCTAGGTCTTCTTGGGTTCAAAGTCAGGTGTGTTTGCTACAGTGAGTACCTGTCTGCTAGGGATTGGTCTCTCTTTGAGTCAGTCTTCAAACGTCTTCATCTTGAAAGACTTGTGGTCTACAGCAAGATAACAACACTTTCAGAGGACACGACCACAAGGAAAGGAGACATCCGAGGCCTCACTGCAGGATTGCTGAACAATATTCCAGGACAGCAGCACTCGTCCAGCCGGGGATCTCATCCGCCGCCTGCACAATTATCAACAGCGAGTACCCCTAGCCCTGCATACAGTTCTGCCCTCACTCACCAGACACAAGGAAGCCAGTCTTATCATACATCTTCCCAGCACACCACCAATGTGTGTTTGGCAGATCCCACCCTTCAGGGCTCATTGAATCCACACATTGCTGCCGGGACATTTCCTGCTGCCACAGCTTCTGGTGAAGAGATATTGTTGGTGGATGAAGTGGATGTCTTCTTTGGATCGGATTTCTATGGGCAAACCTACAATCAGGTCACCAAGCTTCGTTTACCAGAAGTAACTGCCATCCTCACTGATGTTTGGAACAAGCACAATCAAGGTGGTCGCAAACAGCGATTGACAGATGTGCAGGTCACGCCTGCTTACCAGAACCTGGTGCAAGCCATGCCATCGTTTCAATCCATGATTGACAATGAAATCCGACTGATGCTTGACCATGTCCAAAGGATTGACAACGAAACCTACATCTTTGACCCCGGAAATGACAAAATTGGCTACAAGGTGCTTGATGGCATTTCTTACCAAGTCACATATGGCTATCTTACAGTCTTTGCCTATCTAAAGGAGGCAACAAAAGGCAACCTTCGGAATAAAGAAGAAACACTGAGACGGGAGCTGTACATGCCTGTTTCTTGTGGTCAGTTCTCCTATGCCAACATTAACCCTGCAAGGATACTGGGAGTGTCGGGAACCCTGGAGGCAATGGGAGAATTTGAAAAAGACGTCCTTTTTGACTATGGTATCAAGGACTATATCTTTGTTCCAAGTGTCTATGGGCAATCCAATTTTGTTTTTGACAAGGCAGGCGATGGAATCTACATTGAGGAAGACAAAAGCGACTACTTCCAGAAGATTTGTGACGAAATTCGGGACAAGACAAACCGGAAACGCCCAGTAATTGTGTTTTTCAAGGACAGCACTAGACTGGCTGAATTCAAGAGCAGCCCATTCTTTTCAGGGCTAGGACGACAGAAAGCCATTCTGTCTGAAGATATGGAACCAGGGTCAAAGGATTTTGTCATCAACAAGGCAGCAACCTCTGGGCAGGTAACTATTTGCCCTGCTGTGTTTGGTCGTGGAACAGACTTCTTCTGCAAGGACGACAAAGTTCAGGACGCTGGTGGGGTCCACATTATCCAAGCATTTCTCTCAACTGAGAAAAGTGAAGAAGTGCAGATCCAGGGTCGAACTGCTCGACAGGGGAAGAAGGGATCATACCAGATGGTTCTACTGGAAGGAGATCTAAAGGACAACTTTGGTATCTCGCAAGGTGAGAAGGACTCCATCGCAAGAGAAAGGAGGTATGAGTGGCTACATCAAGCAAGGACAAGAAAGCACGGCCAACACTGGAAATTGGTGGGAGAGAATCTGAAGCTTGCCACAGGGCGAGATCAGGCCACCCATCAGTATTTTGACGCTCTGCTTGCTGGACAGCGGGAGAGTGCCACAACGCTTTTCAAGGATCTTTATGCAATGATCAAAAAACCGCCTATTCCAGATGAGATTGCTGTTGACATTGCTCTAGCAGTTGATATCACTGGCAGCATGGCCCCCTATTCAAAGCATACAAGAGAAACCATTGAGGGACTTCTTGCAGGAAACAACTCAATTGTTTCAAAGCTAGGACCTTCATTCCCTGATACAACCATCAAGGTTCGGCTTGGTATCATTGCATTTAGAGATATCGATGACCGCACCAACCAGTTCCAGGAAAGTGTGTGGAGCCAGGGTGGGCACTTCACGGAATCTGTTCCTGATGTTTTGGCCTACCTCAGGGCAGCAGCATTAAATCCAACTGGAGGTCATGACTTGGCAGAAGACATTTTGGGAGCTATCAATCGATGTGCAGGATGGAGTGAGCACAGTGACTGGTCATCGCAGATCAAGATGATTGTGCTTTTCACCGATGCTCCAGCACATGGGTTCGTACCTCCCTGTTCTATAGGACAGCCAAATGTGGATAGCTATGCTGTTCGCCACCCCCGTGGATTCACTCCTGCCTCCATTGCATGCGCACTGGTTCCCAAGGGGATCAACCTTGTTGTTTGTTCTTATAACCCCCTTGCAACAGCACTGACTGAAGAAAAGCTTGCCGAAGAGTATCTAAACCATCCCGACAATTCTGCTGGGAGAGAAATCAAGAGAATCCCCATGGTTCCCCAGTCTGTAATCGGAGGGACTGCTGGAAAACCTTTGCTGGGTGAACAACCGAAACATATTGTCTTTGTTCTGGATGAATCAGGATCAATGCGAGGGTCTTGGGCTGGTGTTGTCGAATCATTCCGACGGTACCTTGCCCGTCGACGGGAGAATCAGAATGAAATGGATCTAGTCTCAGTTGTGCAATTTGATAGCACTGCGAGGGTTACAGTCCAGCAGACACCCATTGGATCAGCCCCTGCCAACCTTGGCTTCCATGGTAGAGGAACACAGTTTGCCCCTGCTGCGAATGAAGGGAGTCGAGTTGTGGCATCGACTCCTCCCTCTCATGTCCCAACTCTTGTGTTTATGAGCGATGGAGGCACCAATGATGCACGACAAGCGGCCGCAACATTGCAATCTTTGAACGCTCAGGTGCTGCAAAAACATGGCAGTGATCTAGAGCTTCACGTGATTGCGTTTGGAAATGGAGCGGACACTGAACAGCTACAGCAAATAGCACACTCATCGCCAAAAGGGCGAGTACATCTCAGCTCTGACACGGTCCAGCTTTCAAACATTTTTGCTACTATAGCTGGTGGACATCACGTTGCGACAGCATTACAGAGTGAGATTGCCAAGGAGATTTCCGAGGCAGTATCTGACACACTCTCACTTGAATACTTGTCTTAAGTAATAACAATGTTTGAATCCTTTTTGCTTCGTCGAGTTTCGGTCAATCAGACTGGTTGACGTCCTCTGGTTGCATGTGGCGTGCACGGCACCTTCAAAAGCTCGAAAGGGAAGTGCTTCAACTGTGGGGTTGCACCATTTTTGTTTCGACGGTGCCTGTTACTTCAGCCCGCCCTGTTTAGCTCTGCCTGCTCACTGCTGGCTCCTGCGTGCGGAACCATTTCAATGGATCTGAAAAGCAGGTCAGAGCAATTCTCTTCGAAGCGCTCTACATGACTTCCTCTTCATGGCTAGTACGGTCTGGTTTGTCTGACTTTCCTCGAGGTTACCTGTTTGTGCTGGCTACAGCTTACACTGTTGAGTTATCCCCCGTCGATGTTGCTTTATCCAGATCACACAGTATTTCAATTTTGCTGGCAGCGTAAATCGTTGAGGGATTTCGTTGTTGCTGGTCGAATCATTGATTGATCATTCCTCTATTGCGAGCAACAAGCGGTAAGAGAATGACGGGTGTTTCTGCATGTTCTGTTCGTCGCTCGAATCGCTCCTGCCGCAGGCAGCCAACTTCATCGTAGTCTCTCGTCGCTCACGTCCTTTATGGAACGGGGTGTTTCCTTGTCGTCGCGCGAGCGACTTCCGACCATTGGCCATGCTGGCTAGCTTAGCTAGCTGGATGCTCATAGACCTCGTGTACGGTTGCATCCTTCCTATTCATGCTTCTGGGACCTTTCCAAAGAACTCCCTAGTCCCTTGTTTTCCCTTGAAGAGGACTTGCCTGAGCTGGCACGGGAACCGAATTTCGAAGAGTTTTGTGGTGTTTCGGATGATCGCTCCTCACCCCGAGTGACCATCGACTCGACTCACAAATTCGAAGGAAACAAGCACACCAACAAATCAATCAAATAAAGAACGAACAAGCAGCTAGCTAGAAGAATGCAGTCAATAACGTTCCCTCTACTTCTTGTTGGTCTTCTATTGGCTCCTGGAACTTCGAGTCTCAAGGCACACGGTACCAATGCTCCAGAGCCATGCACCCCACCACCGCCGCTGATGATTCCACCAGGTACGAAAGCCAGAAGAGACGGCCGAACTTTCGTCGGCCAGTAGAACCTGGACTTAGACAGCGATTAGCATTAATGGCTAGGAGGAGTCGTGGCGGAGCGGTTCGTCGACATGCCGTTTCCATCAATCGACAAGATGACCTGCAAATCAGTTGTTGCCCCGATTACCCAAAGACACGTCCATCACCAACAATCCAACCATTCCGACCGCTCCGCCACAGAAAGGAGAGCTCCACAGGAAACAGCCGTCTGCACTCGTTGCTTGGCTAAGACGGCAAGTTGTGCCAGCGCGGGAACTGATTCCAGAGATAGCCGCAGAAGCTTTTGGCACATTTCTGCTGCTGCAATTTGCACTGGGCATCGTCTTGTCGGCAAACTTTATCCTGGGCACTATGCAAGGCGTCTTTCCGATTGCACTCTTGACCGGAATGGCCATTACAACTGCCTGTGCCGCTGTTTCGTCAAAGTGTGCCGCCCACTTCAATCCTGCCGTGACGTTGGCCATGTGCTTGTATCGCAACTTTGGATGGACCAAACTGGTTCCCTACTGGATGGCTCAATTAATTGGTGGGAGCCACAGGTGCTGCCTTGGTCAATTTTGGCTTGTATGCACATCATATCGCCAACTTTGAAGCAGCTCATTGCATTGCTCGATCCACAATGGATGGACTGCAAACTGCGAAGACAATGGCCTGTTACTCGTCCGCACCAGCCCTGACCGCCTTTTTGGCTGAAGCCTTTGGAACCTTTGCCTTGGCTTTTGTCGTCTTTGCCTTGACATCGGACCAAAACAAGCAAGCACAGGGTCTGTTTATACCGCCCATTATTATTGGATCCGCCGTGGCTCTGATTATTGCCGTCATTGGACCTCTCTCTGGAGCTTCTTTGAATCCTGCGCGAGAACTTGGGCCTCGGCTGATTCTCAAGCTTTTCGGGTGGTCTTCTGCTGTTGCCTTCAAGCAGTTGGGACTGTACGCGGGCGCTGCTGTGCTGGGTGCTGTTTCGGGTGGATTCGTTGTAGACAAGTTCTTGTACGCCAAAGAGGACAACGACAATCTGGGTGGCTCGTACGATGGACGACCATAAAAAAAGATGGACTAGTCTCCAGTGGTAGGCGGCAGAACCATCACGCGAACCTACTAGAACCAGTTTTGTTTCGGACTGAGCTTGATCATGAGCCCCTGGCAAGACAAGTTGGTCCATAGAGATAAGCAAAACAGATACTTTCGTTACGGAAGTGCGTTTTTATAGCCTAGCCAGGTTGAAGATAGGTGTGCCGCGACCTTACGATGAATCCCCACCTTTGCATCTGACTCGTAGGCATTAGAGAAACGAGGGCTGTGTTTGCACTGTGGCAGCATCAAGATGCAGCATGATGCCAAGACAGGGACAGCCTCATTGGGGAGATGGGACCCTGGAGAGAGGAAGCAAGCAGACTGCAACTTGTTCGGTTCCACTAGCCGACAGGTGGAATCTATTGCATCTGCACTTCATGGTAAAATTCTTCTTCGAAACCTAGCTCTGGATCTATCTGCAACTTGTCTGCTTGCAAGGACAGTCTGTAGCATCTTTGTTGTGGCGGCTATCAAATCACACTACGAAAGCTATGAAAATCAGTTGCATGGTTCCACGGGTGAAGGACAAGACAACGCTCGAATCAACTTTCAGATCATGGCTATGTATGTATTTATGTGCAGTCTCTAAAAGGGCACTGATCCTGTACCAGTGGGGTAGAGGCTGGTGTACTCCTGTGGACAATTCCAGTGAGGCCGCCTTGGAATGTGATTATGTGCAGTCTGCTTCATGTCTTTCATGTTTCGTGTCCTTCTATAGCTCAGCTCTCAATTCGCTCATACAGTAGCCCATACGGTCCTATCTTGGCACAAGCGTTGTACGGCCCGTCTATTGTGGCAGGGTCATCACAATGATGTCTTGAGGATCTTCCTGTGCACTATCATCCATGTTCACACCAAGCCAGTCATCTTCGTCATCTTCCAGCATATCAAGAACTTCACCAAGCAGCATTTGAAGACCTCGCATCTGTTGTGCACGGTCTTGAGCAGGGGGGTTCATGTAGCTGGTGGTACCGGTACAAAGAATCTGTGGAGCCAAGTCCACCAAAGGGATACTGCTTGGAGTTTCAGTTCCTGGACGGCTGCTGCTGGGGTTGCATTGAGAGGATGAAGAGTTGGACATGGTGGGGTTTGATTGAATTATGCTGAAACGTTAGTTTGGGAAGAAAATATTATGAGGGCTTGAGGCTTGAGAAGTACTTGGAGGGTGTCTACGTGTCTACAGTGTACCGGTAGCTGGCTTGGCGATTGGAATTCCTTGGAGTATCCAGACCAGAAGGTCCCAAGACAAGTACGGTACCAACACCCAACTGTGCCAACCAACCAGTCATAAAACAAAAGTCGGAGCCAAGGTACTCCAATAATAGCGGATGCATGCACCGCTGCATGAACTCAGAAATCGGGAATGCGGAGTCAGGAGCACCGGGCACCAGAAAGCAGCTGGAAGCTCAGAAGGCAAGAGGTTCCTGGCGATCATCAAGGATGCTCTAGACTTCCAACGAGGAGACTGCTCCCTCGATGACCTTCTGAATGACTTAAAGAGAGACTTTTTGTATTCTACCTAAATACCGTTTGAGATTTAAAGACGTGTTCTTTCAGCATACTTCGCACGAACGTCTTCCGGTCACTGACCTAGTGGGTAGAGGCCTTTGCAACTTACACTCGTATCTACTCTTACATTACGTAACAAGGTTCTGTAAGATGTGTGATGCTGGGATGAAGGCAACGAAGGCAAACGAAGTGAGTAGGTAGGTACTCCAGCACTACTACTGAGTACTACATACTACATACAATGTCATTAGCTAGTACCAGTATAGCCCTCTGGCACCGGTAGGCACGTACAGTACTAGCTAGTAGCCTAAATAAATGGAAGGAATTGTATTTATTTTTGGGAGTTGGCAAGCCAAGAGCTACTCGAGTATGGCATATGGCATGATACCAGTTCCAGTTCCGAGAAGTGCATCTCTCAGTTAGTTTATACCCAAGCAATCCAACAAGTTTTCACTTAGATCTACTGCATTTATTTCAGCAGAAAGGTCCAGAAAAGTCGAAAAGTCTAGCAGTCGCCTGTCATTGTGTCGTGAGCTGGTAGAAGGTACCAGTTACCTCCCATGCACAGGAGAGAGTAGAGGAACCAACAAGGCAAACACTTAATACTTTCTCCAAAATTGCGGTAAAAGTGCGAGATACTCGATGTCATCAACTGTGACATCTCTCTTGCACCGGTACGGTTTGGCGTGGATTGGTCCAAGCGTCCTTTTGGCTTTGGGGTTTGGGGGAGTGGGAGTGGGAGTGAGGGAGAGGTGGCGGCTTGGCATCGTTTCTCTCGCCACTCTCAGAAAGAAAGAGAATCCTCTTCGGATTCTCAGAAAGAAAGAGAATCCTCTTCGAATTCTACGGGCTGATGGCTGATAGCCCTCGAGTGCGCAGCTCGCCACTGGCTAGATCAAGTTAATAACATGGGGATTTATGGCAATGTTGAATACGTAGAAACGGAGCACTGAAGAGTTCTTGCTGTAAAACCACCAATATGCCGTTGATTATTATTATTATTTAGTTAGTACGACGTAAATACATACATACGTACGTACGCACGTTGGCTGGAAGCTGCTGGAAATGTTTAACGTTGTGGCGGGAAGGCCTCACCAGCTAGCCAGCAAGGTCCGGAAGCATGACTGAAATCCTTTTTGACAGTTTCTCATTTAATGAGAAACTAATTTCTCAAATAAATGAGAAAGCTAGTTTCTCATTTGTCAAAAATGAGAAAGTATCTTTTGAAATGAGAAACTATAGCAGAAACTAATAGTAAACGTACAGCAGAAGTGAGAAACTATTATCTCAAATGAGAGAATAAACTGTTAGTTTCTCAAGAACTAGAAATGAGAAAATGAAACTAAAAATGAGAAACTAAAACTGTTTGAACAATTTAAAAACTTCATAATGGTTTCCAGACCTTGCAGTCCACAAGCTTTCCTAAGCATCATTTATTTGCAAGCCAAGCTTTTAATTTTCAAGCAGTCATCATCATACTGGCAGGATCCATTACATGCCTCTGGGTCAAAGGTTTTGGCAGTGCATTTACCATTGATGCCTCTGGTATGGTCCTAGACAGTTGTCTCCCATCCAAATGTCGGGTTCAGCTTTCGATGGAAGAATCCCATGGAACGAAGGGCGTCAGCAAAAATGTTCATGCCATCGTAGTCCTGATGACTTGAGTCCGCAGAGCGCTCGTGATATGATCAACGTGCATCCTTCTTGATCACCGAATTCGGGTCCTGCGATCACGTATACTTTCTCATTCGTGTACGACTCGAGATAAGCATTTCCGACGTCAGTGGCCCACACTTCACAATCGTTCAGCTCCGCAAGGAATATTATGACTTGTTCCTTCTGGTGGTTGACTCGCTCAATGAACTTGGCTCTGACTCGAGTGTCATCTTCAGCCGGAGGCATTTGGAAAGTACGGTCCACCACTTCTTCTAGTGAAAGTCCTGTGACGGTTGGGGTTTCCGTGTGCATGAAGTCGAACTTGAGGTCTAGATGCAGAGGGGATCCTCATCGACTGGTGTAGTATGTTCACCTTGTGAAGGGTACGGTGACGGTAGGATCCAGTAGACTCAAAGGATGTCACAGGAGTATCATCAGTTTCCAACATGATGCGATTGTACCAATTATCGTGATCAGAATGATGGTAGTCAAGGACTTTGGGATTCCATTGTGCTCCAGGCAGAAGTGAGGATGACGTGGGAAAGTTGCTCGAGTTCGGAAATCGGTAGGTGGATTCATGCGAAGATACGGCAGTCCGTTAAGAAAATGAAGTCGAGCGGCAGAATGTAGCCTTCATTGGTATGTATTCACTGACGGCCTCCGACACGGAAGGATCGATCCTCCATCATATTGTGGTAGTGTTTGAACTGGCCGGCAGAATGGATGGTACGGTTGACTCCATGATAGACATACTGACGAAAGATACCAATGACATGACCTTTCTGCGTGTTGAGTTTGGCAGCGCCGTCAACGATCTTCTTGGTTGAGACCATTGATCTCGTGATTGTTGATTCCCGTGACGTCAACTTGTCGCTGATGGGTGACAGTGACGCGAGCATCCGAACCAAGGATGCCACCGTTGGCACCGCGATCCATGAGGGAGCCTCGATCGTTCGGACAATGTTGGTTTTTACGGTATAGTGATATAGTACAGCGCGTGGTTGACCATGAGGTACGGAAAACACTGCCGGAGTGGCCTGGTCATGTGTCCCGATATATATTTCATTTGCCCTTTGTGAGATAGCCTGCAGAGCCGTACTGGGACTACAATTCCGGCCTAGGCAAAACCCTGTGTAGGAGAGGGTTTGGAGTTGGAAGCGTCGGAAGATGTGGGGGAAGAGGAGGAAGAATCAGATTCCTTATGTTGGGAGAGAACAGTTCACAAATGTTACTGGTAGAAGGACAGGTAGCTTTCGACTTCTTCTTCTCCTTCTTCTTCTCTTTCCCTTTCTTGTTGGAAGTGACGGCATTCCAGCCCTGGGGTGGGCAATCTCGCCAAGTGCATCAACAGCGATACCAGATTCGACTGTGATGTTGGGGCGGTGACGAGGATTGCGCTGCGTCAAGGATGAGCTCGGCATGGTGCGAGTGACAAGAGATGGCATGTCACCGACATCCAGAATCATATAGTTGAGATCGGGAGTAGTATCATCGGCATCGGTAGGCATACTTGCAACGTTGGGAGTAGCAGGAGGAGGGGGACTCTGCGAGTTATTGCCGTTGCAAGGGCGTCCTGCAGGCTGTTCGAAGCAGGGACGGATGCGGATACAGGGGAAGTAGGCGGGGCCTGCAACTTTTTGTTGAGGATCATGGCCGCTTGCAGAGCAAGGGCTTCTTGTAGAATCGTATGATTGCTCAGGATTGCATCGACATAGTCATCTTTAGTATCGTCTTCAGCAGAATAAAGACGTGATGGTCGTGGTGTCAGGGCAGGAACGTCGCTGTCATTGCCGTCATCATCAAATCCCTTCCAAATTCAATGTGTACGAGTATTCTGGAGTAATGAGAGCTCCAGGGGAATAGCTCCATCTAGTGCAATAGAGGTATTGGCAATATTGAAATTACACATGAGCTCCGGCAACCCGCCTCAGGTCACTGGGTACCTGGCTTGAACATCATCATCCAGCCAATGGAATGCCCTACTCACCAGGAAGTAGCCTTCAGGAACGGAATTCAAGTTGGGAGTCATGACTGACGACGATATCTCACCTACGTGGGTGCAGTCAACATTTTGGAAAACAACTTTTTGATTTTTGCTTACTAGTGCCTACTTAGTACAAGGTAACAAGAATGCAAGAGGCCAAAGTTGAGCTCAAAGCCAATGCACTGTGTCCCATATGCATGCATTCAAGGAAACGGTTAGACTACCGAGCTTGTAAGGATATGACAGCTGGGTGCAAATGAGGTCTCAAAACCAACCACAACAAGACTCATTACCGTCGCCACAACAATCCATCTCCGTTGTCATGAATGATACACGTCATAGAATAGTCCAGCTAGCTAGTACACAGTACACTACAGTACAGTACACTACGAGTGAGGCAGGGAAAGAAAATTGTTGTCCTGTCTACCATACTACTGTACTACGTCCCGGCATCTAGCATGAAGCGTACGTCAGTATTCAATTGTGAAAAGCGCCCATTTTCTGTCACCAGCATCCGTTCACTGTAATATCCAATGTGATTGACCAGGGATGGTTCGACTTGTTGCCTGCGGGTGCGTTTGATGTGTTTTGGAAATTCCCGATTCATGTATACATCGGCATCCGTCTCTGGTGCGGCACTGACGGACTTGAGATACTGTAAAATTTCTTTTACCACTTGGAGTGGCAACAATTGTGCCACGGTACCGGCCGAGTAAGGCTGTTCGACGACTCTGTACTCTGCCAAACACCATGGCAATTGGGATGACGCGCATACCGTATTTGGAGCCCTCGTATGGAATCGAGCAAGAATTGCTCTCGGAAGGTTCGATTTTGTGTTTGTTGTTGTTGTTGTTGTTGTTCCTGTTGTTGTGCCTGCTGCTGTTCCTGTGCCTCCAATGCGGAAAAGTTGTAGTGTGTGACAAAGGGAAAGGTGGCCAAATGTGACGCCATTAAATCAAATCGCATGCGATGAGGCACTTCAAAACTCATTGTGGATCAATTGTTGTTGTCGTTGCCGTCCTTGTTGTGTTGGCGTTGTTGTGTTGCGGTTGTTGTGTTGCCGTCGTTGTGTCCTTGCTGGCTGTAGCGGTACCGTTGCTGGCTGTACTAGTACCCTTGCTGGCTGTACCAGTTGCTGCTGAGTGAAGCTGTTGTTGTGTTGCCGTCCTTGTGTCGCCGTCGTTGTGTCGTTGCTGGCTGTAGTAGTACCCTTGCTGGCTGTAACGGAACCGTTGCTGGCTGTACTAGCTAGTACCCTTGCTGGCTGCTGTACTGGCCAGCTATTACCGGTGCTGGTACCACCAGTTGCTGCTGAGTGAAAGCTTCGCGCGAAAAGGGCGCATGCACCCCGATTGAAGATTCGATTGAATCATTTGATTCGATTCGATTCCTCACTTTTGTTATGGGTATGATAGTACGGATTCTGGGACGTGCGGGATCCACCCGGCAATCATCAATAAGGTACTGTACAGTATGGCATCAAATCCGTCTCCAGCAGTGACATCATGAGTGACCCCAAGCTCGAAGCTCGCTCTGCGCCAACAAGAAAAAAGACAGTTGCAATTGAGTAAGCGCAAAGAACGATCGTCGGGCATCAGGCAGGCCCTGCACCATGGCAACAACGTTGCGAGTGACGACGACGCTGCGCTGATCAATCAATCGAAACATCGAAACCGACCGAACAGATAGATCAATAAATGGAGAACGTGCGACAAGTCCAAACGGTCGTGGAAGCCTTGGTGGAAGACAATGCGTTGCTCCAAGAAGAGACAAACAAGGCGAGGAAGAGTTTGACAATTCAGCTAGGTGACAATGTGGCGCTGCGGGTCGAAAAGGAAGCCGCCAAGGAAGCGCTTTCCAAAAGCAAGCAGAAGCGGAAAAAGCTGGCGGACAAGTTGCTTCAGAAGGAAACCAAGATGCGACAGGAAAAGCTGTGGGCACTTCGATTAGAAGACAGACTGGGAGAAATGGAAACAGAGCTGGATATGTATCGCGGTAGAGCAAGAATTCTGGGAGAGAGATTAGAAAAGAAGCAAAAGGCACTGGAAGACAAGGAGACAGCACTGGAATCAGAACAACTCAAAACGAGATCATTGGAGGAACAACTAGAAGCAATGAGCTTGGAGCTCCAACAAGAGAAAGAGTCCGCTCAAGCACGGCTCGACCAGAAAGAGGAAGAACTGCAAAAGGAAAGGGCGTGGAATCAGGCTCTCCAAAGAAAACTACAAGAACTCAGAAACTGGGCTCGAAATAGTCCACTCGGAGACCTACTCGAGATGGGACGCTCCAGTGTGGGGTCGACCAACATTATGAACACTGTGCAACAGTGACGAAATCGACTGATCATTCGAATCTGTTCTCGTCGTCCCTAGCTATAGATTTACGCAAATCAAAGGTCACGGCATGTCAACTTATATATACATGTATATGCAGACGTTCTAACGTCGTAGCTCACGTCAGGAGATACCGTATAGCTTGCTGACGGAGTTCCAACAGCTATAGCAGCGAACTATGTACCGGTACTATACACTGATTCCGTCGTCGTCGTCGTCGCCGCCGCCATCATCATCATCCTCGTGGAATTCTGGCACTTTTTCTTGCTCGATTTGGCGGTATCTGACGTGAGCAACTAATCCTTCGTCCCTGACCACTCGACCGCTGAATGACATTGACGTATGATCCAATGTTGTTCCGTCGCCGTGTCCTGATGGCGGCGGTGGCAACGACGACAGCTTTCTCGTGGTTGGTTCCACATGACTACTAGCCCTGAGGCTACGACCTGGAGCTTTCTGAATGGGTAATTGCGGGACCAAAATACCCAAACACACCACAAAAAGCAAACAACTCGTCACAATGAACCGTACATTTGGGATATCGTGGACGAGTACCAACACAGGAATGCCCACCAAGCAGGCTTCCAACAGCATCAACATGGAGAAGGCAACTTCCTTGGATTCACTCAGGTTGTGGGGCAAATTTCGTGAGAGATACACTTGAATGTTGGAAAGCAGCACAGCACCAAAGTTGAGAAAAAAGATTGCACCCAACAGCCATCGAGTGGTGGAACTAGACGGAGCACAGGTCCCGTAAGATTCCTTGGGTCGATCGTAAATGTCGTAATTGTTGTCCACCAGGACACGCTTCCAAACAAGTGGAGCCACCGCCTGCATGGCACAGAGAAGGGACAGGTTGATCATCAAAATCACAACGACTGGAAGCGAAACATCACGATGCGTCACTTGTATCCGACGGAATCGCTGCGCATGCTGGAAAATCGTGTTGACGCGCCATGTTTTGGATGACAAGGCTGCAAATGCAGTGGAAAATCCCATGGACGCCAACCACAGAGTTGACATGCAGGCAGCATCAAGATGCTCCGTGGGTTCCTGGAGACTGAGAGGAATGATGGAGCCGGCCATGTGAATGGCCCCAACGCAGCACATGACAAGAAACAATGGCTGTTTCTGTCTGACAACGCGTGTCTTTCGGTGAACCAAGGACCAAGTCGCCAGTGCAACAGCAAGGATCATGACCAAAAAAGCCAAGACCAAGCCGAGGATTTGAGCTCCCAGGCTAATGTGATTCATATCCAATTCCACTGGTGGAATACTGGGTGGAGGCATGCTGGTGCCATCTCGGTACGTGTAGTTCTGCAATACCTCAATCCTCTCCTGGACCTCTCCAAATGAACTCACATTCGACTCCAGGAGCACATTGGCATGGGTATTGGTATCGAACCAATACAAGCCATTCTCATCAAGGGGCTTTGCCACAAAATTGTAGGCTAAGTAGTGCACTGTTGTCGGGTCTCGCGAGCATGTATCCTCTTGGAATCGGATTGTCCCTGTGAGTCCATGAAAGGATGTGTTTCGAATGGCCTCAAAGAGTTGGGGCCCAGTAAAGAATGGATCTTCCATTTGACAGGCAGCCATTCCCAATGTCATAATTACGTCATACTGAGAAGACTGCATTCCACCGGCAAAGTTAGATCGCTTTGCATCCAGAATGGGATCAAACACAAACGCTTCCTTCAGAAATAGTTGCTTGGCTGGATGTTTTTGGGTATAGTACTCCATGACATGTGTGCTATCCAAGAACTCCTCCTGCATGGCTTCTTGATAGGCTAGAGTGGGAGGGGGGGAAGGTAGTATGATCACTGATCCATTGAGTATGGAAGCAGCACCATAATGAGACGCATTGGGAAGTGCATAACCTGCTGTAATAACTTCCACATTGGTTTCGGATAACACAAAGACATAGTCATTTGCTCTTCCCAAGCCCAACTCATAGGCCCGTTGTGCCGTGGCAGCAAATCCACCCAACTCTGGAGCCAAGGAGATGTATCGATATCCAGAATCAATCACTCGTTGAATGGCATCATCCAACGACTTTTGATTGCCCACTTCGTAGGGTGCTCCCAAGATGTGAATCCCCATATTCCTTCCTGCATTTGAAAAGTACTTGTGATGAGAAATCCCTACTGTGTTGCGGGCATAGAGGACTGCCACGTGTGGATGTTCCGTACCCCAGCTATGGATCAGGGCCGCCAATCCTCGTGCTATGGCGTCATTGGTGGATGTAGTTCGACAAAAGAAAGGAAACATTTCTTTATGATCCAGTGATTCCGAGGTAGAAATAGGCGATACTTGGGGGATTCCCAATACCCCGGAGAGTGTTGCCAACGTTTCGGATACCTCACTCCTAGTCGCACCAGACAGGGCGATGGGAAGTGGGGTTTGGAGGGAGTGTTTCCGGTTGACAATGGAAAGCGCGAACTGTCCTGCTGCGTGAATTGGACTGAATATAGAATCATATGGATCCATGGTAAAGAACAGGTCCGGGCAAGATTCCATTCTCTGGGGTAGCTCTGGTATGACACGTCCGCTTCGTTCATTCAAGTGTTTTAGGGCAAGAACTCCAGCTGCCTGCACATTGTGCCAAATTGGGTCAATGCGCCAATAGAGTGGGTTGGTCACTGCTAGCATGCTTGCGATATGGGCCAGACGAATAGACGTAAGGTTGTGGTTGGCGAGTTGAGTGAACTCTGCGGGGATGCTCACAATGCTGGACCCATCTTGGACTCGAAACGGAATGGACGTATTGTGGCGGAGTTCCTCATAGTAATCAAACGCAGGGAGCTCGAGCTCCTCGTCTTCCCGATTGGAGTTCATCATGATTATCACGATGTACCTGGTACAGTATGTATTATAGAGATGAGGGGTTACTATGGATTAGAGAGAGCTAAGATGAGGATGGGGACAGAGCGCGGATGTGTTATGCATCCCTCAGCAGAAAACACAACCCTGGGCGCTCTGTGCATACCGGTATGCATACGGGTACCGGTACATACAGCGGCAAGCCAGCAATTAAGTACGCTGTAGCAAAGAAGTCCACCACGTCGCCCTTTTTCAGAATCTCGCAGTGGTGCCGGTACATGTACTGGCACCGGATGTATTCGTGTTTGCTAAGCATTAAAGTGGTGTTGAAGTGTTGACAAACCATTCGCGTTTTTCAGTGGAAGCGGATTACTAGCTAGAGTAGTACCAATGACATGCAATACATGTATACAATAATCTTCTTTTAAAAACGTGTCCATATGCAAAACTTCAACAGTTTCAAGTGTCAAAATCGCCAGCTATGAAATAAATGTACATCAAACAGTGCGCCTAGAAACGAGAATGCGCACAATGGCCACACGATGATCCCAAACTGGCAGAGATGGAAGTTGCTTCCAGCTAGTCTAGTAAGCTTCAGCCTGATCCAGATCATTCATGACAGTCACATCATAGACACACGCAGCAAAGACTTGCTGATCATGTTTCACATGGACACAAGCCACCTTGGCGTCTTCTTCCGAGATCCCCCCTTGTCCCAGACGCCGGGATTCCTTGGCTTTCAACGACGACTGCTTTGTTGGCAGCCGACAAGCTTGAGGATACTGTGGAGCTCGGACGGCTCGAAATAGCATGGGTTCGTCGTCTCGGACTTGCCATTCTTGTCCATAGGCTCCAATGTCATTGTCCTCCTCCTTCATGGAATAAGTGGTGACGCCATCTCGTGCCAAGAGCTTGCCATCAAAGGATCCCAACATGCCCACGGCATTGCCAAAGTGTTCTCGTGCCGCATCATGAATATTGACGCTAACAATGTCCTTCAAGATGCCAATGGAAATGTTCTGGTTTGTCGCCAACATAATCTCAAAGACTTGTTTCTTCTTGCTAACGATCGTGTGAACAATCGGATACGAGCCGCCCATTTTGAAAAGCACTTCCGAATGCTTCTTATTATTGCGAACGACGGACGATTGCATGGCATTCTCGACACCATTCAAGGCATAATCACCCCAACTGGAGACTTCCAGGGTATCATTGCCAATGCGAACGGCGGCAGTTTCAATGAAGCTGTAGTCGTATCGCATGGTGGTGCGCACATGAATCGTCAGATCTTGCGATTCGTCATCAATTTGGGGCACTTGCAACAACACCAAGTCACATTCTCCCATGTAGTCAAAATAGTCGCCCGTCCAAGAACGCAAGTGAGGATCACCGTTCATACCCGAACCACGAGTATCAGGACCACACACATGGCTGTCTTGTCCTCGAGATTCTTTCAAAGCACACGCCTCGAGCGTTTCCGTGTAGGATTGACAACGGGTTTCGCAGTCGTCCAAGCGACAGCAAGAATCGTGGGTGGGACATTCCTTGGGGCGGTTGCTGCTGGCGTCGCAGTGGCCCGGATCAAAGTAGAAATAGTTGGCACAGAATCGACAGCTATTGTCGCAACAGCGGTAGCTATGATCATGGTGGTCGGCTTGATAAGTTGATATAAGTACATGTAGCAAGTAAGAAGGTAAGCAAGTGAGTAAGTGTCAGTGTTGGTCATACCCACTAGTAGCGGACTGTTTTGTGAGTTATGAGTTACGTGACTTACGTTCACACTGGGTTCCCCATCCACCATTGGGCAGATCAGGTCTGGTACACTCCTCGAGCGTATGGACGTCTTCTCGACAACGTCCTCCGCAATTTCCCGTATCACAGCAAATAATGTTATGGCAGACCACCGGATAGTCCACCAAGCTGTACAAGACAGCACCGTCATTGTCGTTGGGATGGACCTTATCCACGAACGTGTTGGTTCCACAGAGACTCTCATCGTCGACATGCAGACACACACGGTTGGCCGTACCACACTGGTCGTCTTGGCAGCACGAAACCTCGTGGTCACCCTTGGCGACCGAGAGCAGCATCCAAAAGCAAACAGCAAGAGACAAGCGGGACATCATGGTACAGTAACGTGCTTAATTTGGGGATACTATATCTTTTATGTAGAGCAGATGAAAAAGTAGCCCAGAATGTTTTCTCTCAGACGAAGTTGTGGAAGAAAGAGAATTGAGCAAGTTGCTGATGGGTTCTACGGTACCGTACCCTACAGTACCGTATACTTTCATCAGCTCTTTCATCACCTGGAACTGTTTTTTGAAAAGGTTGGCACAGGCACAGGTTTCCCCAAGCGCGTGTCACGTCACACACTGGTTCATCTACTATAAAGTTTATGTACTGATGATCACGAGCATCAAAAGTTAAGTAAACTTAATAAATCAGTAATGCACCTTCTTCGTGACTTCTCCAGCGAGCACTTCCAGAGTGTTCAAATTATTTGATACTGATACGTAGTCACGAGCAGCCAGCAAGGGTAAAAATAGATTTATTGACTCCTCACTTGCTCTTGTGGATACGGTAGGATTGAGATAGAGACAGTTTTTGTGGAGCAACAGCAATTAAATAGAATCTCCGTAGATTTGAAAAGAATACTATGGAAGCACCTTATTAGAGTGTTGATTTAAGGGCAATTTCCCCAACCAGCCTTCCTGAACCTTGAGACTTATGCCTTGAGAAGTATATTAGTGACTCATTACCAGCAGGGTACCAGTTCAGTCCAGGTTGTCTGCATACCTTCATCTCAATATCCTCCAAGTCTGTAGTACAAAAGAGTGAACACAATGGTTTGTGACATATAACTTATAATCATGTAATTGGGGGGATGTATCTCAGGCACCCAGGCCATGTTGGTAGCATGGAGCTGGAACCAATGGTTGTAAGGTTGGGGTAGTGATGCTAATAGACTTCAAACTTGGTACTGATCATGGTTCACACTGTTTTCAATGCCAGGATGCCTGTGTACATTCTCTGGAGATCATATGTGGATTCTGCTGCAAGTAGTTGTCTGCTAGATGTGCTCCTTTTCCTTTTACATTCCAGCACTGGTGAAGTGTGTTGTTGTCGAATGCATTTCCCCAACACAACACCAGTGCTTACCCCCCCCCCCCCATGATCATTCGCAGGAAATCCTTGTTCATCGGTGCCTTGATGACAATCGAATTCCAAGGACTGTGTTCTTTCACGGAGTGAACCAGAGATTGCGGTGGTGGTACCGCACCTGCACCGCGTTTCTCACTATTTTCGACTTCCGAAGAAGTGTCATCCATAGTGAGCGCAAGGGAGCAGTCGCCCCGCCTCGACTGCTGAAAAGCAGTTCCGGAGGACGGGGCTGGTAATAAATTTGTCGCCCATGTGGGAGTGCTTGTGTGAATCACGCAAGATCCCAACGGTAAGGTCAGGTCCCTGTTAGCTAGTAATACTGCAGCTTATTGGGGAGTAATTTGGTTTTGGATTAGCTGAAAAGCAAAAGTGAGATTTTCTGGTAGTGCATAGCAATTCTTGTGATTGAATTGGATATAAGGACCCCGTAGCACTTTAGACCTAAAACTCCCTTGGTTCCTTGCATGATGAATTTACATGCGAACCGGACTAGATGATTAATACACGAGTCAATAGTAAAGAGGTGTCAGTAGTATGTTTCCTCCAACAACTCCTGCACGGTGCCCTATGGCTACCGTGGAACGAATAAATAAATTAGGCAATCAAACAAGGGGTGGATGCCCCATGATGAAAGCCCTGTGCTCGTGGAAGAGCTTGCCTGAAGGGGCTTCGTGAAAAAATCTCCACGCCATCTCCAAGGTTGGGCAGTACACAACTCTAAGGTTGCCTTTTCCAATCTGGTCATGAATAAAAAAGAAACGAATGTTGATAGCCCGAGTTTTTTTGCCCGAACGCCTTTGCCATTCTCTGCAGAATGATCGTGCTTTTGTTGTCCTGCATGGGATGTTGTCCTTCACAACGTTCCCCTGCTCTTCAAGGAACAACTTTGCCCACAACATGGGCGACATAACATCGTCGCTCCAATCATTCCGCTTCAGTGCTGCTTCTTGAGTTGAGCTTCTTTTCGCGGATACAGAAAGCACCGCTCCTCTTCCAAAGGACATACTCCTCCTGTATGGAACTGTATCAGGATGGACTGCAAATGATGCATCCACCCACCAAGTGATGACACGGATATCATCAACGTGGAGTATCAATTGTCCTCCACTGTTTGGTCAGGAACTTCAATCCTTGAATCAACTTGCCCAGTCATCAACTGTGGGATTCCTCACACGTGTGCAGAGAACATTGTCAGTGTCTGAACATCTGGTCTTGCTCTCTTACACGCGAACAACCTTGGCTGCGTTGGTGTGTAGATTTCTCTGGTCTTGTCATCCAAAGCAGCTCCATCACCAGAATGAATAAATCGGCAGGTGCCGCGCTGGACACCTTCTTCATTTGCTCGAAGTCCCCGGGAACTCCAAAATCATCTTCTTAAGATAGCCAATCATGTCAATGACTACCTTGCCTGGATCGGAAAAGTCCACCGTCATCCCCAGTAGTCATGCTTGGGACCACGGGTTGCCTTCACGGCTCCATAGGTACCGTACTTGTCATTAAACCACTCCAGGGTTCTATTGTTTACCAGTTTCATCCGGTGGCTCGACATCAGGTCGTCCACATGGAAGCGTATCGTCTGCTGATATCCTTCAATAATCCTGTTGGCAACACACGGATCTACTGTTGAATACGAATCCGATCCCTCCAGGTCGCTCCTGAAGAGCTTGTACAAGAGCAATGCTGCCAAAACATTCCGTAGATGGCTCTTTCCACAACAACATAGAGGACTGGTCGTCCCTTCTTGTATGTCAGGAAAGAGGCATATGTGTCAGATCAATTTCGACAAGTAAGTCTGCAAGGTTCCCTCAATGATCATGAGGACCCTGTCTTCACCTTGTTTGACTTCTGGCATTGGGGTTTGGATGAACGCATTGGGACATCCAGGGACATCACATCCCATCTTCAGATGCATCGACACACATGGATAACATCAAACCCTCAAGTGAAACTGTTGGACTTCTGGCATCTTCTTTTTGATGTTACACCCTGTAGGTTTCCATTGTAGACTGCACGGGCTTTGACGTGCCATCCCTTTCTCACTCACAAACATGAGTGCCATTTGTGCCTTTTTCAATTCAGAATCACTGCATTTGTTGGGTCGACTGGACTGAACAACTCTGCTGTGTAGCTGGTCATCTCTTTGAGCGCCGCTTTCTGGCTTTGTTGCCCACACTTTCAGACCCTTGGGTAGAAGATGTTGTTGGGCGTGGCTTCTCTCATCCTTGACTTTCTGCTGTGGCACTCCTGTGATTCAGGAGTCCATGAACAAAGCTAGATGTTTGTTTGTCTCTGTCTCATACAGTAGTGGTTGCTTCGCTTCGTCATCTTGGACGAAGGTGACTCCTTTCTTTGCTCGGCTGTGGCGATCCGAGCTGAGCGTCTAATTCCAACTCGGGAAGCTTGGAAGCCTGGGCTGGTCCAGCGAGGTTCCATCATTGGTACCACTGCTGGTGCCGTCTCTTCAACTGTAGGGTTGTCTGACTTGTGCTTGTTGGGATTCTTGGAATCCCTCTTCTCTTTCTTCATCGGATCAATGTCTGTGGCATACTGTTTGAATGCCCTTGGTACTAGCCCTGGGGCGTTCCCATCCTCAGAATCTTATCTGATTCCGTGGATTCCACTGAATCTTCGTCCGAAGAGTCTCCATAGACTTGGAGGTAGCTCTCATTTCCATTGACACCATCCACTCCTGCAGGCAAACCTACAGGTAAAAATTACAAAAGTCACGGTTGTGAAAATTAGTGGTTTCTTACCCTCACCGTATCCTTCTTTTCGACAGCATAATACTGAGCGAGGCATCGGCAGATGCGGACATGCTGTCGCGTGTATCACCTCAAAGGTGACAGGATCATCACACTGTGTCCACCTTGTGGTTGTCCATCAATGGACGGAGATAGATGCAATCCAATCGCCGGGGCTCCATGGAATTGAGCTTGTCTGGTGAAGCGAGACAATAGCTCCCAAAGTGTACTGATATCTTTGTAGCTTGTGGTCCGCCCTCCAGATCTGCCTGGGAGGATACACTTTAGAGATCCATCAAGCGCGGGGAAGAGGTTGAGTTTACAATTAACATCGTACACCAATTCCACAATCATCACCTTTGGCATCACCATGAACGGGGTTGAATGCCAGGCTGCGCGGATGCGCTCCTTCAAGGTTTCGGATGTTCCGCTCGGCGGGACCACTGTGAGTCTGAGCCGCTCCATGGTTGAGCTTGAGCTCCAGTCGTTCTTGACAGGATCCATCAGGCCTTGAACTCCAGGTCGCACTGTATTTCTTGGATCTTGAAATCATATTTCCGTACCGATCAAAAATCTTGTCAATGGCGGCATAGAATGATTTTCCTTTCCTGTTGGTCAGGTAGGCTGATTCGCGGTGTCGGATTTGCAAGTCAGTGAATGCTAGAAAGGCAATCTCACAGACATAAAACACATCCATACATCCGGTCAGGAACCTGTGTGGTGCCACCAGCTCATCCGGCACAGTATGAATACTGTCGTCACTGGTGGCGGGCGTCTGCGTGTAGTAGAGCCCTTGGCTCTTGCCATGTCGCTCCCGAAAATTAATTCGGCGATCGATGTCCTCCAGCTTGACGGGACAGTCGCGAATTTGACCAGTCCTGATCATGTTGCGGTATCCCTCCAAGATGGGCGCTGGAGGTTGTGGTACAGATTTCTTGCGAGAAATGCACCCTTGGCTTGCTTCTTGGTAAAGCCTTCGAGGTTGCCCTCCACCGTCTGGACCAAAGAGTTCCCATTGCTACAATACATCAAGACCATCCAACGTGGCTTGTTCCCAAAGCAAGGCGACCATGACAGAGTTGACTTCTACTTGAGAAAGGTCGACAGCGACGTGGATCAAGTGTATGACCTGGTCGGAACGGAGCTCATTGATGCCAGGACTATCGGTTTGGCTGAATACAAGGCCGCACCGGATCACGACGCCAAGAAAAGATACTAGTGACGGAAAGGGCTAGGTTGAAAGCAACCGTGGCCTACCATGGACTACAAGAGGGAGATATGGAGAT